CTCTAACTCTTTCTTTTTAAGCTTTAAAAGAATTTTGTGCTTCTGTGTTAGTTGTGAAATGAGTTGTGAAATATTTGTGAAATCAGTTCCTCTGAACAGCAAAGTTGCATCTCATCGCGACTTCATCCAGAGCTAGTCAGATAACTAGACAGGAGACAGTAGTCCTCAAGGCTGAAATCCAGCATTTCCGATCTCCCTCCTTAAGCTCCCAGGGCCAGAATCTCTTGAAGAAATCTGCAACTACGCAGTTGTGTACCATAATGCATGCATGAGATGGGAAAGGTCTTCTCTGCTTGAGGAATTTCATTGAAGGCGGTTTCTTCAGACGGTGGGAGCAGGTGCAGATGTTGTTGTGACTCGGTGAATGCCATAAATTGGGTCATTCTATGTCATTGTTTTAGAAAACCTGTTATCTCTCTGAAGTGGTTCCATTATGACACCACCTAGTAGTGACAGATTTGGTGAACCATGATTGTACATAGTCTGAAACACTTGTGTATTGAGGGAGATAGCTGCCTCCATCTGCCCTAAATGTTGCCTCCAGCATAGGGCTTTGTAGGGATATTTGCACACCCGAGATGTTGAGCTATGCGGAAGTCCTGAGTGCGTAAGTAACCCTGTGCAGGCTGTCTTGTGAAAAACTGCAAAGGCACATCACAGCAGAGTCTGGAGCAAAGGACTGTGCTAAAAAAAAAGCAGTCAGCACTTGAAGAAGAAGAAGAGATTGGATTTATACCCCGCCCTTCACTACCCAAAGGTGTCTCAGAGCGGCTTACAAACTCCTTCCCCTTCCCCTCCCCACAACAGACACCCTGGGAGGTAGGTGGGGCTGAGAGAACTCTGACAGAAACGATTCTTTTTCAAAAACAGCTGTGCCAGAACTAGGGCTTGCCCAAGGTCATCCAGCCAGGTGCAAGTGGAGGAGTGGGGAATCAAACCTGGTTCTCCCAGATTAGAGTCCGCGCACTTAACCACTACACCAAACTGGCTCTGATGATTGGTGGACCAAGAAGGGTATGTGCATTAAGTGCCATCGGGTTGCTTCCAACCTATGGCGACCCTATGAATTAATGACCTCTACAATGTCCTCTCGTTAACAGCCTTGCTCAGGTCTTGCAAACTTTGTGGCTTGCTTGACAGAATCAATCCATCTCATGTTGGGTCTTCCTCTTCTCCTGCTGCCTTCAACCTTTCCTAGCATGATGGTCTTTCCCAGTGACTCTTGTCTTCTCAGAATGTGGCCAAAGAGGGATAGCCTCAGTGGAGTCATTTTAGTTTCCAGGGAGAGTTCAGACTTGAGGTGGCCTAGAACCTACTTATTTGTCTTTTTAGCCATCCACAATATCTGTAAAATAGGAGCTGCGGTGGCTCAAGTGGTTAAGACGCTGAACTGCAGGCTGTGGAAGGTCAGTAGTTCAGCAGTTCGAGACCAGAGTGCTGCATGACGGAGTGAGCTCCCGTCTCTAGTTCCAGCTCCTGCCAACCTAGCAGTCCGAAAGCAAGAAACTGCAAGTAGATAAATAGGTACCACTTCAGTGGGAAGGTAACAGCGTTCCGTGCGCCTTGGTGTTTAGTCATGCCGGCCACATGACCACAGAAATGTCTTCGGACAGCGCTGGCTCTTCAGCTTTGAAATGGAGATGAGCACCGCAACCCTAGAGTCGGAACCTTTACCTTTACTTTAATATCTGTAAAACTCTCCTCCAGCACCACCTTTCAAAAGAATCTACTTTCTTCCTGTCAGCTTTCTTCTTTGTCCAACTTTCACACCCAGACATAGTAATGGGGGGATGCTGCGATATGAATTAGAGTGCGATATAGGAAGAGCACCATAAGCACCGTCAGGCGACTTCCAGTTTAGAAGAGATTGGATTGGATTTATACCCCACCCTTCACTACCCGAAGGAGTCTCAGAGCGGCTGACAATCTCCTTTCCCTTCCCCTCCCCACAACAGACACCCTGTGAGGTAGGCGGGGATGAGAGAGCTCTTTTGAGAACTGCTCTTGAGAGAACAGCTGAGAGATGGAAAAGGAGAAGATATTGGATTTATACCCCGTCCTTCACTACCCAAGGGAGTCTCAGAGCGGCTGACAATCTCCTTTCCCTTCCCCTCCCCTGGGATGTAGGTGGGGCCGAGAGAGCTCTCTCGAGGACTGTCCTTGAGAGAACAGCTCTGAGAGAACTTGTGACTGACCCAAGGTCACACCAGCAGCTGCATGTGGAGGAGTGGGGAATCAAACCAAGTTCTTCCAGATTAAAGTGTGTGCTCCTAACCACTATGCCTGGCAATCCTATGAATTAATTACTTCCAAAACATCCTATTGATGTTTTGCTCAGGTCTTACAAACTGGTGGCGCGGCTTCCTTGATTGAGTTGATCCATCTCACGTTGGGACTGCTGCCTTCAATTGTTTCTAGCATTATTGTCTTTTCCAGGGACTCTTTTCTCATAATGTGACCAAAGTCTCAGTTTAGTCATTTTCGCTTCTAGGGAGAATTCAGGCTTGGTTTGATCTAGGACCCACACATTTGTTCTTTTGGCGGTCCAAGAAGAGAGCACCAGCTAAAAATGTGCATTGCTAGTAGGAGGAGTGGGCTTGACCTCAAAGTCAGCTGGACCTAAAACGTTTGAGCACATCCTGGTAGCACGAAGGAAGGAAATGGCGTGGCATGGACTTTATTTCCCGCTGGCTTAAACCTTTGTGCCAGGGACTGAGGACGGAGCTGTTTCTCTTGTCTCTGTACAGAGCCGTGAAATTAAGAGCAATAAAATGTGTCGCCCCGCTTGTGCGGGGGAGGCAGACGAGCTGTCCTCAGAAGCTGGGGGTGTGCTTTGTGCTGTTACCGACATTGCTATTTTTGACTCACACAATACGGTGGTTGTTCTAGGACAAACCTCCTGAGGACTGCTGCAGCTTCATTCAAGCAGCCACAGCCCATTAGGAGCAGAGCACCCCAGTACTTACAGAAGGGCCAGAAGGCAAAGTCTGGCTAGGCCCCTCCTAGGCATGGCAGGGCAACTGGCTGACTTTTGGGGGCCATACAGAGGGCGGGGGGG